TATTATACAGCCTTTATTTGCTTTGGAACTCTGAATGATGGCCACATTTTTCTTCTTCAAAACAAAACTGCTTTTCATTCCAAAATCTTCATAGTCCTTGAGAAAATATATTTATGTCACATCTTATTAAATGAATCATCCAAGGTTGGGCTCTTTCCTCTTCTGTTATCTGTTTTGTTTTGTTTTTTGGTACTGGGGATCGAACTCGGAACCTTGCATTTGCAAGGCAGGCACCTCGCAAAGCTAAATCACCGGCCCCTCTGTTATCTGTTTATAAGGTAAAACAAGCTGGTTATGGGTAACACAGCTTTATTAATTCATTAATCCCATTAATTAACTGTTGATAAACATTTTAAGTCATGTAGGATTCCAGAAGAACTCAAATCTACCATTGCAATCAGTTAAAAATCATTTATCAATAATCTTAGATCAATTTCACTTTTAGAGTAATTATAATTTTTTAAATCAGAAAATAGCAGGTATTAGAGAAAGGATAGAGAGAAATTGGAATACTCTCACATAATGTTTGTGAGAATGTAAAATGGTAAAATCGTTATGGAATACAATTTGGCAGTTACTCAAAAAGTTACACGTATGATTATCATATGAACTAGAAATTCCACACCTACGTATATATCCAAAGGAACTGAAAATGGCCTCAAGATACTGTATTGAAAATGGCCTCAAGATAATGCTCACTCCAACATTATTCACAGTAGCCAAAGTGTGGCTACAACTTCAGAGTCCATCAACAGATCAAAGCACAAACAAAATATTGTACGTACATTTATAAAAAAAGAATTACACTGAAAAAAATATTTACATTCTGCTAATTGTCACAGCACGGATGGTTGCCAAAATCATCATGCTATGAAATAATAAGAAACAAAAAGAGACATTTTATTATTTAGAATAGGCAAATTCATAAGAGACAGAAAGTGGGTTAGAAGTTACCAGGGACTAAGGGGAAGGTGGAATGAGGAGGTTATTACTCAATGGCTACAGAAATTTTGCTTGGGTTAATGAAAATGTTTTAGAAATAGCTAGTGGTAATGGTTGCACAACATGGTGAATATGATTAATGGTAATGAATTGTTACCTAAAAACTACCAACATGGCACTTTTTAAACATATATTTTACGAGAATTTAAAAGAGTAACATAATATACCAAAACACACTGAATTTTAACTTTAAATGGGAGAAATTGTATGGTATGTCAATTGTATCTCGATAAAGCTCTTTTTTAAAAAGTATACTGATAATTAGAGATACTTTGATCAATGAGTATATAGCTCGAGTTTAAGGCAAACTATTGCATTAGTTTAAGCACTGTTTAGTTTCAGAGGCAACTGCAGCAATGTACCAAAGAGTCCATAACCTTTCAAAATTCTTTGGAGAGCCAATTTCTAGCATGAGTGTAAGAGAAAGCGTGTTATGAAGCTGTGCATAAACATGATCATGCTTAAGTCTGTGATCTGAAATGTTAGCTATAAATCATTCTTAATCATTAAAACAAAATTGCTACTAGGTATCAATGGCAATTTTGGGGTCCTCACAATTGGTGCAAATATCCAGAAATATATTATCCTAGCATCTGTTTAAAGTCTTTATCCTTGAACTTGGCTCTGCTTTCTGTATCTTTTTACCATTTCCACAAATCAGAATTCTTAGTACACCAAGCTAACATCAGGTACCATTATATTTGAGTTACCTTTCAATATTATAAACAAATCTTAGAAGTAATTTGATCTGTTAGGTTATTAGTTACGTCTTCCATGGAAGGGGAAATTAAAGCACTGACTGCAGAGATATTACAGATGTGATATTTTGAGGTCAAGTTAAAGAATGGATGGGATTTCTAATCATGTGGATTTATGAGACTACAAACAAGCTAAAGCCAAGTCTGGGTTTGGGTTATTCTTAGCCTAACTGTGGAAACTGGACTATAAAATCAAAACATATTGTATTTACTTGGTTTGAGTAATGCCCAGATAAAAGTTCAGTATTACCACTTAATTCAACCTAAGCAGGTCTTTCCAAAAGATTATGAAAATGAGTAAAGCACAGTCTTAAAATGGCAAAAAATCAATGGATTAAAAAATCAGTCACTCTGGCAAAAGACTAATTAACACTAACAACGGAACCAGACAGTAAGTAACACAGAGAACAGCAACAAGAAGAGAATCCCCAAACATGGACAAGCAGTCCCTACACTGTGAACTATTCTATATAGAGAGATTTTCTGGATACAGCCTTAAGTTTCCCAATAGTGGAATAAAACAAAACATTACAACACTGCACTCTCCCAAAAGGAATTCCAGGAAAAGCTTTCAAGAGAAGCCTGAACAAATGACATGAGAACAGAAAATTTTGTAATGGTCCTGAACATCATTATGTTTTTAACTCATTAATTAGAAAAGATGAATCTGAAAAGAGTCTAGTATGCTGGGTCACAGAAGATAAATGTTAGGTTCATGATTAAGTATGTTATCTTGAATGGGCCCATTTTCTCTGCAGAGAGAAAGAAACTCAACTCCATGGTCACATATCGGACTTTATCATGGCCATTTGTCCTGGATCACATGAATTAAACAGTCTGTTATTGCCATAGGGAAATAGGGAGCAATATTCCATGGACAAAACAAGTGGCTAGATGCAGTATAAAGCATACAGAGTCTGAGATGGGGGCTCACTTGGAGATGACTCCAAGCTGCATCTTCCACGCAAGCCTGCGGAGGTCTGTTTGCCTAACTGTAATAATCAGGGGACTTTAAAGGTACACACAACCTGCAATACTTTACATATGAGTTAAAAATGCCAAGAGATTAGCCAGGAGCTCAGTAAATATTCTACATTCACAATCCATTCCTGAGAAGCTGAAAGCCCATGTTCACTACTCTACAGTGAAATATGAAGAGTTTCTGTAGACACACAGAACAGAATTAGACTTCTTTTATTTGGGGTTCTTCTCAAGTGTAGGCAACATTAATGATTAGGGAGAGGATACCACTACTGTGTAAGCGTTGCTGCCATTGAGATGAAAGCAGAGCTGAGCATAAGGGAAAGAATAATGTACAACTGGACCAAGTCCCATAAAACAGTGGTCCAGGGCTACTTGGCACATAGGCAAAAGGGCTTAAAAAAAACCTCTATTTATCATAGCCTTCAAGCACCCAGGAAAACTGAAACTCTGTTTTTTGTACTCTATTTAAAATGTACTCTATTTAGAAAGCAAACAGTTTTTGATCATTTAAAAACACTAAAACAATAAACTTCAGTTATCTGTTTAAAAAAAATCAAAACACCTCCTAAGGAAATTAGGGAGTGTTGCCTTATTAGAAGACAGAGGTCACAACTTTCAAGGACCCAGAAGATTTCTACATTTAGAAAGAAGTCTACCTGGTTAGAATAAAAGAACACAATGCTTAAACAGAACTAACTTATGGTTTTAAGTTTAAAATGGGGTTATACTGAGAAAACCCTGGTTCTGTCTATCCAATGTAAAAACCTTACCCTACTTTTTTTGTTTCGCTTATGAGGAGATGAGGATCAAATTCAGGATTTTGTCCATGCTAGGCAAGCACTCTACCACTGAGCTATAACCTCAGGCCATAAAATAATTTTTATACAAAAACATTCAATTATACATTGTGCTTTGCTGTGTACTACTGTCATGTGACAAATAACCAGTTTATACTTTGTCCTGTACGAGAGTGCAGTAATTTTGACCAGAAGTCATTTATCCAAATGAAGAAAAATTCTGGAATCTTCAGGAGATCCCTGAGTCCTAAGATGGTTCCTATGCGATTTAAAGAAAAATGTTTAATCCATTTCTAAGAGTGTATAATGTTTTCCAAAGCCTAAAAACCTTTCAAGATTGGGTCATAATGACACCATTATGCTGAGTAAACACTCATATAAAAGCTTTCCATTGGGCCTCCAAGTTATCAGAATATCAAGTCTCTAACAACCCTCTTTACCTGGTCTGCTCAGAGGAGCAGCTGGCAGGGAGACTTGCAGGTAACACAGAAACACAAAAACTACTAACAAATTCCCAGAAGCCTACACAAAGGCACTTATATTGCAAATGATCAAGTGGCCACTTGCCTTTTAGGAAGCAACCTAGATACTCTGACCTGCTTTAATCAACATTTATTCACAGCTGCTTACCCCAACTGCCTAGAGTACTCCAGAGCCAGACTTTGCTGAGACTTCTCATTTGACGGCATTCCTCAGCCACTGGGACTAAATTCTGCTTTCTTCCACCTTCCTTAGTTCCCTGAAGTTGTTTTGTTTTTCAACATACCAGAGGGAGAAGATATTTACTAAAATAATGCTATTAAAAGCCACAAAACACATGATGGACAAGACACCTACAAGTATCTTTACTCAATTACAACTAACTACTATTTATTTATTTATTTTTGGTGCCGGGGATTGAACTCGGGACCTTCCGCTTACGAGGCAGGCAGTGGCACCAGAGCTAAATCCCCGGCTACAATTTATTATGTTACAATGCTGAATGTGTTTGGGGAATGCCTTAAATGCAAATGCTTAATCATCAGAATAAACAGTATGATCTGTTTAAAAAACAACAGAAGCCACAAGCCTTTATAAAAAAACTTCATGTAATAGGAAAAGCCAAGATTTTCATGTGTTCTTGGCTTAGACATTTAGAGGACAATGCTCGCCAAGCTCATCCATCTATGATCTCTGCTGGAAATGACAAGCAGTGCTATTCACACCATGAGCTGTAATTGGGCTAAGACCCGCATCATCAATTTGTTTTTAAACATTTCAGTAAAAGCCAATTAAAACAATTTGCACACCTGATCGCACTCCATGGAAAAAAACTCTTTAAAGAACTAATTAAGTTAATGAATCTTTCCCTATTAAATTAAGCAGTCATTCCATTTCATTTCCGATCCAAAGAAGTTCTTACTACTTCCCATCACTTCCTAAGGAAATCCCCTAGACTCTATCATTAGTGTATACTTACATTCAAAGCATTCTTTGCAGCTTCTGCTTCTGAGCGACTGTCAAAACTGACAAAACCTACAGGCTAAGGAAAGAGAAACATGAAGAAAAAAAATCAGCAAATATCTGTCAAAGGTGATGTCAAACTGAAGAGCTAAGATAAAGAAATGACCACAGGTGATGTGTAGAAATAAGAAAGCCAGTACCAAAGAATCATGACTTAGTGGCTTAGCCAAATTTTTAACATGAATCAAAGGATGGTGAGGGTGGTCTTTCAAGGACACAGCCAGGGATTTAGAAAATAAAAAAAAAAAATCTATACAGGTGGTTGGGAGGTGAGCAGCAGTGAATAAGGGGACAGAGGAAAATTTGGGTTGGAGAGGTTCTACTTTCCTAAATCAAATTCACTGTACCTCAGTTTCTTCATCTTTTAAAATGGAAAGAGAACCGAATCACCTTTTGGTACACTGTAAGTGCAAGGAATATAATGACACAATGATAAAAGCCCTGTTTTCTCACTGCGTGACCAAAATTACACGTGAAAATTTCCATCTCAAATCCTAAGAGATGCCTTTTAAAAATCCTGTGTGTAATCAGACATGTAAATCACATTATTGCAAGTAAATACGAGTCCTTATCCCTTTGGACATCTCATCTTTCAGTCCAGGAGGCTGTCTGTAAAATAGCTTATTTCTGATGAACCTGAGAGATAGGTGATTGTAAAGGGTTCAGCTTAAGCAAAAAGAAAAAAAGCATACAGGTAATCCAAGAAGCCTGTAGGAACTACTAGAGCCACTGATTACTACCTCCCAAACATCCTAGCTGGAGATTACATAAGTACAAATTTTCCTGTGCTAAGCTGCTAGTCAATGTTGCCTTTAAATTAAAGGCAACAACGAAAAATTAAATCCTAATTAGAATAAAAAAAGAAAAGTTTGGCCTCATCAACACTCCTGAAGAAAATTACAAAAGTGATCATTTACACAAAATTTTGGAATCTTACCTGCTTAGATGTGAGCTTTATAAGAGAACCCTCATAGCCCTGAAAATAAAGAAGAACCAAGTTTAGCAAAACAAAACAAAACAAAAAACAACTAGGGAAAAAGGGAAGTTGTAATATCGTCCTGACCAAGTAAAAATGAGTCCTTTATCACTACTAATTCTCATGAATGTGTTCAAAGTTAGCTGGGAAAGCAAATCACTCATACACACACACCTATTTGCACACATGGAAATTCATGCACTTACTATATTTCTCTTCTTTGTATTTTTTTCATGAAATTATGCAATGGCAGGAAAATGGGTGTCTGTCAAAAGATCTTTTCGTTGTGTTGGTTTAGATAAGAGCAAAGATTCTATAAAACTAGGAGACAGAAGGGGATACTATCTTAACACAAGATGGGTCAGCGAACATGTTTGACTTGGTCACACATATATTTGTTAAAAAATAACAATGAAACATTAAGCATATACAAGCTATGATTTATTGACCAAAATTTTAAAACCACCAGAAAAGGCTGAACAGGCAATGATACTGCATTTTGTTGCGTTCTTCAAAGTATGTTTATTTCTCAAAACAATCAATGCCTGGTGGCTTCCACTGATGGATGATACCAGAGGGGAAAAAACGTCACTTGACATGATTGATTGTACTGCACACATCGGAGCAGAGTCAGATTTGCAGACTAGGGTCAACTGCCAGGGACTTTAATTAAAAGAGGACTGTTAGGAAGGTACCAAGGTCCTGACTTTAGTGTTGGGATATCTGAGCAGGATACAGAAATGCTGGGATTGATTCATCCTCACATCTTCCCAGCTGAAAAGTCCATTACCAATTAGCTACTATAAACATTTTACCTCCGAGGCCTTGAGCTCTCATGACTAGTCGTGATTCACAATCCCGGCCTTTCCTTTTATCAAGGAGCTCTCTCCGAAAAACCTTGGAGGTTTAAATACTCTGAAGGCCTTGGAGGCAAAGCATAAAGGGATATTTCACTCAACCAAAATATCACTGGTAGAGATATACTGTATTCTAAAGTTACACTGTAACTTTATATTTTAGAATAGGAACAGCAGTCAAACATTTGTTTCCTGGCCCTGCCATTTAGTATGTGTGTAAACTTGAGCGTAAGTAATTCAACTGCATCCAGTTTCATTTTTGTCCTTTGAAAAAAGAGGGCTAACTCACTTTAAACACTTGTGATAATTAAATGAGATAATTCATATGAGGGAGCTAGCTAATAAAAATCTCAATCTTTCCTTAACATTGCATTTGATTGAAATGTATCCCCCCCATAATATAATTAAGAGTATTTTTGTCAGGAAGATCAATTGGCTTAAAAGACTTCATTCTATACAGAAATCTGTCCCTTTTATACAATTGTAGCCCCGCAGAAGCAGCTCAGGAAATTCTATAAAGTTGGTGCTTTCTCCACAATACCTTCTCTTCCTTTCTCACATCCTATCAGCCAGCCTTGTAGCAAACCTTTCTGTTTCCTCCCATGTTGTCAACAGTATTGTTGTATTTTGGTGTGGCTGTCAAAATGGAGTTGTGCCCATTATTATAATGGTGTTTACTGGCATGTAAACTGGACTTTGGGTGAACCTGGTTATTCCTGCAACCTTCTCTCCTCATTTCTCACCCAAAAATTTTCAGCTATTACTTCCTATTCTATCTTTCTACTAAGCTGAATCCTGCCCCTCAACCTGCCTGCCTCAACCAGGATGAGAAACTAAGATTGTCCGTCATCTAATCTAAGAGTGGCCCATGCCAGGCACTGCTGCTGACATACCCACAATGACCAACTCAGACCTCCTGGACATGGGCCCTGAATTCATGGTGCCTTCTAGGCCCACATTCTGATGAGGTTTATAGCTTCCTCTTATTCTCCAAAGGCCAACCTTTAAGGTTTCTTCTTGGCACCACAGTTATTTCAGCCCTAGTCCAACTTCCTGTTAAGGTTTCAATTCCAACAACATTAAGTATCTCTGAAGTGATTTTATTTCAATAGTGAGGAAGGACAGGCAAATGCATTAAATATTTCACTAAATACCAAGAAAGAGATCCCTTGATTCATACAAAGGTATCCTGTAAAATCTTGTTTGACTGTTTGAAATTTAGGATTTTGGCAGTGGAAAAAGTAACAGTGTCAGGTTCATAATCCAACTCATAAAAGCCCGTATTTCTCCAAAGAAGAGTACCAAGAGTACTATTCTAACTAATAAGGAAGCCACCTACATATAGGGCTTGACTTACACGATTGCATTTGAAATATAAATATATAAAATTTATAACATTTTCATGATCTTTACTTAGATGTGCACCGTACAACTGGAGTAGAAAATGAGATCAGTGAGGATCTTCTGCATAGGACAGAGAGCCCTGTGGCCAGTGCCGCGTCCCTGTCTCATCCACATCCACATCTGCAACACTGCTTTAGATTAGGTGAAGAACTAAGGCAGTTTTGATCAACCATCTAGAAATTGTACATTAGAACTCAGTTGATCCTTAACTCAGTCTTTTAAAATCTCTCTCTTTACCAGGTGCTTTGTTAAACTTTTTTCCCTTCATTCAAAAAGCCCTCATGAATTATGCAGTATATAGTCTTTTTTATCTCCTATAATTTTTGAAAGATAGAAAATATACCTTAAATGGTCTGAAAAGCAAATAGAGCTCCCGAGGTTTGATATCCAGAGGAAGACCACTGACAAATAGGGTCCGGACCTGGAAAAACAAAATTTAACAAGTGAGCAAGGGTGTGGACAAGCTTTCACTTGAAATTGCAAAATCGTATTTCTCCAAATATTCATGACTCCTATCAAGTTCATAATCATCCCATGACACAATGAATATTCAATCTTAAGATACCATTCGGTTAACTCTTACTCCTAGTTATTTCTATATGTATTCAGAGTGAATTATGTCCAGCTAAGGTAAAGCTATGACCAACTTCTCCCTTTCCCAACTAGCCACTGCCCATTTCTAAAATCTGGGGTTGTGGGGAGGAGGTTTCATATAATTCAAATATTAGCATAAGAAACTACATCCAAATATACCACTTCTCGGCCCTAACCAAATGACCATATAACCGGCTTCAAAAACAAAATAAAATTTTGGTCTCTCCTGCTCATCTTGCTACTGGTGCCCTCAATGATATTAATTACAATAAAATTATTAAAAAAGATAATAAGCAACAGGGAAAGAGAATGCTTACAAAAGGGAAGGTAACCAAGATATGGAGGGGGAAGAGGGAAAGGGAATAAGAAAAGAATAAGATATGTTATGTACCTGTACCAACTCCTCACAATGGATGTAATTATTATGTACCACAAATGTACTAATAAAAAATAAATAAATGTAAAAGTACAATTAATAAGTCCAACACATTTAAATAGAAGCCACACTTCATAACTGAATCTGCTTAGTTTTCTCACTGATTGCTTCTCCCACTGTGTTCCCCTATTGCAAAACCAACACAGATGCTCATTACACACAAGGTACCTGCTAGGTGGTACTGGTAAAAGTCATTCAAGACATAATATAGTGCAAGGCATAGGGTACCAACCAACTTCTACCAACACACAGAATACAGATGACCTACAGAGCACCAGAGAAACCATATTAGCATCTAAATGGAAACTTAAATGACAGATACAATTTTACCTGAGAAAGATGAATGTGAGGTGAGATGAGTAAGAACCACAGGCAATGAAAAAGACTAAGGCAGTGATGTACAGGAGAACACACTGCACTCTAGGGGCAGGATGAAACAGACAACTTAGGGTCAAACCACAGGGCACATCAAAAGCCATCAGCTCAGAAATCCAACCTTGATTCAACAGGTAAGGAAGAGCCACTGAATTAACATTACCACATTTTCTATTCCTCTATTCAGGTTGATCACTATGACTGAGCTCCTCATTAGATATCGTGCTGCTACTTAAAGAAAAATTTAACACTCAACTGTTAATCATGCTAAATATAAAAGATTTTTCCAGCCATGCATGGTAGTGCATGCCTGTATTCCCAGGAGTCAATAAACTAAGGCAGAAGGATCAGAGTTTGAGGCCAGCTTGAGCTACACAGCAAGTTCAAGGCCAGCCTGGACTACACAGCAAAACTCTATTTTAAAGTTAATTAATTAATTAACAATTCCTCAGTGAGAAATAGGGAGAATTATTTTCTAGATTCCTAATACTTTCCACCGATTCTACTTGTACAGAGGCACAAATTAGCAAGGAAGGACCTTTTACATTACACAGTAAAATGTCAGAATTCTGCTGCGTTATAGTTTAAAAAGCTACATTGAAAGTATAATTGATATACAATAAACTACATACCTCCAAAGTATACAATTTTGATGTGTTAAGTTTTGATGTATGAATAACCTGTAAAATCATCACAGTTAAGATAATCTATCACCTTCAAAAGTGTCCTTATTCCCTATAATCCTTCCTCCCACCCTGTCCTATATGCCCCAAACCTAGGCAATCACTGATCTGCTTTTTTGTCATTGAAGATTAATACACATGTTCTAGAAGTTTACCCACATGGAATCAGAGTATGTATTCATTTTGTCTGGATTCTTTCAGGTTAACCTAAAATGAAACTTATTCATGTTATTAAATGGATCCATAGTCTATTACATTTTATTACTGAGTAGTATTCTGTTGCATGAATATACCAGTTTGTTGTTCATTGCACCTGCTGACATTTAACTTATTTCTAGTTTTGGGTTTTTATAAATAAAAAACAGGTACAAACATTCACTATAGACTTTGTATGGATGTATGCTTTATTTCTGGACAAATATTTAAATGTAGAATGGTTGCATATATGCTAAGTATATGCTTAACTTTTAAAATCTGTCCTTCTATTCCTTGTTTTATGGCATAGAACATGCTAAATGTTCTATGTGCATTTAGAAAAACTATTCTGTTGTTTGGTGGAATAGTCTATAAATGTCAACTAAGTTGCTTTTATTTTTTTCATGTTTTGCCTATTCTTTTGCTCCATCTTTGCCATAAGTAATAAAGGTTCTGGGGGGAGTTTTTTTTATTAAGCTGCTACTGACCATGAGGGAATCCTGTTTTGCAGGGTGTCCATCCACCTCTCTTCCCATGGTGTACCACGTGAACACTATCTGTTCAACCCAACTGTTCTGCCCAAGACACTGTTGCCACAGAGGGACTCCCACTATAGCCCCGACACTGTGTCAGGAGGCTTACTTGATTGATTATAGAGATTTCCATAGAAATAACATGATAAGCAGATCCAAAGTTTTAAACACTGGGGCAACTTATGTCTGGCAGTGCACCTTAGCTATCAGGGTTTGAGGAGTCAGTCTAGGAATAAATTACCATTTATAATATTGTTCAGGGGCTCAATTGTAAAATGCTTACCTAGCATGCAAAAAGCCAGGAACACACAGGGAGGGGGGTTATTGTTCTAAAGAAAAAGGCTTTACACAAACTTGTAAGTCAAGCAATCTACCAACAAAACTCTCTAGGAATCTGAGGATTAGCAATCAAGATTACTTAATTTAAGGGCTATCTAGATTACATAACAGTGTCACACAGCCTATATAAATCATGCTCAAGGAAAACATATATGTGGCTAAATTTTATTCTGTAAAGCAGCATACATACACATCATATACAACATATGTTTTTGGAGAAAAAAATACATTGCAAGATATATATCTAAGGGTTTATATGACTTAACCCGGAGTGGTAGAATAACAGTGATTTTAATGTTTTTCATCAGCTTACTCATGTTTTCTTTCTATAATAAAAACAGACTAAATATTGTTAAGTTTATTTTGTTAGATTAAGAATTGCCTCTATTTATTATCTGGCTTTCCTGAAGACTGAGGAAAAAGTCAGTATTTTATTTTATTTTATTTATTTATTTGGGTACCAGAGATCGAACTCAGGACCTTGCACTTGTGAAGCAGGCAATGGAACCACTGAGCTAAATACCCGGCAAAAGTCAATATTTTTATCAATGTAAATTGTAAAGTTTATAGAGGAAACTTTTGTTATGTAAACATTTCCAGAAAGAGACATCAGACATTCTTATATCTCAGTGCCTGATTAAGACTGCTGTTTTAAGTCTTAAGGGGAGTGGAAGTAGGGGTAGGGTGAGAATCAAGCTCCTGGCAGATCTAAGTTTGCTACTTACCTACAGATGCCAAGAGACTCAAAAGCCAACTGGAGTTATGTCTGGCACTTCATTTAAATGTGAACAAGATCGACATTTCTTAGGCTCTAGCAAAGCCCAAAGTACATTACTGTCTCAGAAACCTGCTAGTGCTGGGCGTGGTGGTGCCCACCTGTAATCCCAGCATTTAGGAGTCTGAGGCAGGAAGATCGCCTTGAGTTTGAGGCCAGCCTGGGCTACATGGTGAGTTCATGACCAGCCTGAACTACATAGTGAGACCATGTCTCAAAAAGAAAAAAAAACCAAAACCTGACAGTATTTCATCCTTTAAGAGAGATCTTACCGCCCAAGGAACAGGTAGACAGACAAGAGGAAATAACTCTTGAATATTTAGATTACATGTTTGAATCCAACTAGAGGTTATTTAAATCCAAGGGCATAATGTGTTTGGAATCCTTCCTAGACCACCTCATACTAGGAAACTAAGTCATCCAGTTTAAAAAATAAAAAACACAGATAGAGTGGGAAAAAAACTTTAAAGTATTTAACTCATGCTTTTCTATGGTAACTGGAGACTAGAATATTTAAAAACACTTTCTTTTCCTTAGTCTTCATACCATCACATACAGTATATACCATCTAAGTCATTACAGAGCAATGCATGCTGGGTTTTAGCTTTGCTAAGGTCTATGGGAATCACAAAGACAAGACAGGATTCTTACCTACGTTACGTCTGTAAAGAAAACCATGTAAATGTCCACATCAGAAAGTTTATTAGTTCAGTTGAAAAATAACCAGTAAGAATGCAAAGAGTGAGATAAAAGCATAATACAGAAAAAATTTTTTATCTTCCCAAAATAACAAACAAATGATACCAAATGAACTTATACTAGGTCAAATCATTATCCAGGGCAGCCCTTAGTTTATCAGCAGCATCTATGAACACAGATGTGTCTGGCACTATGCCTTTTACATCCACAGATGTTTATAAAGCACATGGGAAAACACATTTCTTAGTCAAGGACACTGTATGCTTCACAGAAGTTCAGGAGATGAAGCTGTTGACAGATAAATCCCAAGAGAGCCTAATGGATTTTGTGGCTCTCCCTTCAACTTCATTTTTGTCCCAACAGGACTAAGAATAAATGCCAGTAGACATTGCCTGTGTAGGACAGAAAAGAGCATTTTGGGCTCAGCATTACTTAGCATTAATTACTACAGAAGACACAGTTAGATTTTTGATAATACTGGCAATGCCAGCTCACACCAGGAAAGACAAGCTACATTTCAGTGGCCTACTTCTCATTTAGTAAAACTCCAAGTCGATAAAGTAAAATCACTGAGCTTCCCTGGACAGAAAGGTAAAAATCAGACCCTGAAATGGAAAGATCAATTTTAAACAACGAACATGCCTTTTTGTGTTGATAATATAGACATGGGAAGGGAGGGCTTAATTTCAATATATAGATATGTAGTAGGAATCATTCACACCCTTTTCAACCAGTTGTCCTACCTGACCAACATACAGCGTTCAAAGACTATGGCCATTTTTGGTGTATATT